AAAAAAACCAAAACAAACATCCCTTTACTTTTTTAATCCGATCAAAGACAATTATCTTCTCAAACTAGCTGTAAGGAATTCGCAAAATGTTATGTTTCTACATCCCCTATGTGAAATCGGACATTTTTTTACAAATAGTAATATAGAGGATGAAAATTAAAAATTAAAATTTAGGATCGGTGATACAACACAAATTATATCATTAAATAAATTAATTTATATAATATTATGAGTCCGAAATAATAAAAAAAGTCATCATTAATTAAATAATATAATGTTTAATTTTTAATATTTTAAATAAATAACTCATGTCATATATGTTATTAATCCCGTAAACTTTTTTTATTTTATCATTAATTTTTTTTTTTAACACTGTAAGGAGTATGTTAATCCAAATATCTAGTCGAGCTCCTCATATTTGTTCATTGTAAAATTTTAACTAGTGTAGGAACCTAGAACACTAAATTGAAGTTTTAAATTAATTTGAATCTTGAAATGAATAGAAACTAGATTTGGTAAGATTGGATTCAATCCGAAAATTCACCTAATTCATTTATTATGGGCTGAGTCATGAGTTCTAGGTGTTAATTCAAAGTTTGAAATGATCTAAATTGAAATTATCCAAATTCAAATGGGATGGGTCACGAGTGGATCGGATAATTTAAAATGATTTGAATTTTTTTATTCATTTTTTATTAGATTACTTAAAAAGTAATTTTTAATTTTTAATTTCTTAATCTTAAAAATAGAAATAAATAAAATACCAAAATTTTAACCTCTCATCAGTTTTACTTTCTCTTAACATTTCCTCTTCTCCACTCTCATTCTCTCCTTCTTCATCTCAAGCTCTCTAATCCTTCTCTTTAGTGGTACTCGTATAAAAAATAGATTAACTGGTATATAGTAAGCTGTGTCATATGACACCATTAAAAAAATCCTTTTTTTTAAGAAAAAAAAGAAAGAAAGCAAGAATGTCTACTAAAAATCAAAATCCAATAGTTGAGGTACCATCATCACCATTAAAAGCACAAAGACAAGAACATCATGAACATCAAGATTCGTTCTTAGTTACTAATTTATTCTTAATTAATAATTTGTTTCTAATTAATAAAAATTAATCCCCAATCCAATTTCTTCTTGTAGTTATTTAGATATATTTTGGATTTACCTTTTAAACTTTAATATTATTAAATATTCAATAGAACTGTATTTTTTGTATAATATTTTATAAATATTAAACATGCACTAGATATTTATATATATATTGAATTTATCTTTTGAACTCTAATTTTT